AGGGACGGTGCTTCCCACCCAAAAACTTAAGAAAGTCAACGAGGGGGGTGAAGGCAGAATAAGCAACTACATCATCACTACAAGTAGCGGCGCGGACCAAGGAACGGGCAAAACTGGCGGCTTCCTCCTTCAGAGCGTGGATGGCTATTAAGACTTGCTCATCTGGGGAAACTTTCTGTAAGTGCACGTACGTTTTGACGTTCGCTTCTCAATTGTCAAAGTTTTCTTCCTTCTTCCCGCTATAGGAATCGGGAAATTTGACTTTGACAGGCTCCTTACGAGTACGTGCTTCTTCCTCTTTTGGAGCGGTCAGTCTGGCGCCCTCTATGGTGCCTGTGCAATATTGCTCTGATACCAGTGCAATCAGACTCGCATTCATTCACACTTCACACGTATGCAAACAGGTTGCGTAGCAAACTGGCGCCAGGCGCCCACTCAGAACTCTGAGATATAGTACCAAGAACTCAATTCAGATACAAGTTCACTTCCACTGGCTATGGCGGCACATCGCCTATACAACTCTCTGTCGTCACTCACTCAACACTGCTGTTCGCACACAGGATCACCCTGGATATCCCACACGCAACACTTTGTACCCTCGCGCACACACTCACACACACCTACAGCTATGGCGGCTATGGCCGCTACTACCCTATCGCTATGGCTATCCCCTTCTCGCCCACTTCGTCCTCGGGCTCACTGCAGACCACCTCGCACAAGTCGCTATGGCAGCGCTTCCGCATGGCTTACGTAGGAATGAATGACTGGCTGGACGCTGCCTCCTGATTTATACTTCTGTAGCTCGCTGGTCTGGCCCTTTTCCATCGGCCCATTGTGCACACAGTCCCGTATGGTACTTGCTGGACTGGACTGGGACTGCCTGGACCGTACCGCTGACTGCATGGGGTTGGACCGCAACCTCACTGCAGTTGCACTGCCAACACACTGAAGTTGGCTCCACCACTTGCCCACTTGCCTCTGTCTAACGTGAGCCTACTCCGAAAGGCCACTTCCGAAACTTTGTAGACTTGGCCTTTCAGTACTGTAGCAGCTACGACCTTGACCTTTGAGGACTGTAGCAGCTACGACCTTGACCTTTCGGACAGGCTACAGCTACGACTTCTAGAACTCACAAGGACTCCTATCCGACAGGTCCACAGATTGAACCCCTACCCCTACACCGACCTACGACAGACAACAACAACTGTCAAAACACAGGTCACGGATTCAAACACTCCGGGTCGACACAGATACTGTACACAGGTAAGGTGAGAACTAGGGATCGAGCCCTGGGATCTGCACTCGCTACTGCTGACAGGTGAAAACCATTTCAAAGCAAAGACGCCAGGCGCATTGAGTTCAGATGGCAGTTCTCTCTCTCTCTCTCACACACACACAAAAAAAATAAAAAAAATTGGACCAGGTAATGGTCCCGATGCATCTGAAGTGCTCCATACGTCCGGATGCATTGGTCCAAAGAACAGTCTAGGTCCATGTTGAGTGTTCAGTAGCAGAGCGAGCCCCTCTCTCTCTCTCACACACACACAAAAAAAATAAAAAAAATTGGACCAGGTAATGGTCCCGATGCATCTGAAGTGCTCCATACGTCCGGATGCATTGGTCCAAAGAACAGTCTAGGTCCATGTTGAGTGTTCAGTAGCAGAGCGAGCCCCTCTCTCTCTCTCACACACACACACACATGCGAGGCTACGCCCGCCCAGCCCCTTCGGGGCCCTTTTTGCAGCATGTTGTCCGCCCTAAGTGAAGGCAGGCACGACAGGCCCTCAGGGCCTCGATTTTCAGGGTACCCCGCAACTGGTGAAATTCAGACAGTTGCGCTGCGCCAGTTGGTTGAAGGCACCCAGGCCCAGGCCATATTTTGCAAATGTATCTGAATAGTGACCTGGGCCAGACGCGTGGGAAAGGCCGTGAGCAGGCCAAGGGCAGTTGGGCACATGCAACCATCAGGCCCTGGGCCTGCGTGTGAGGTCTGGGACTGTGCCTACCGGGGCCTACTGGAAGCTTCCTGGACTGGACGCAGGCAGGCCACTTCGATATAGGGAAGGGCCTGCCTCCTCATTCGACATTCGGGTGCTAGCTGCATGCTGCGCGAGCGCTGCTGCGCTATTTGCTGGCTGGCTGGCACTCACGCTCTCACGGGCGGCAGGAAGGAGCGGGCAGCCATAGCCGAGCTGCTCCGCTGTGAGCTGGGTGTGGCGCACGGTGGTCCTTGGGTGCTAGTGGCATCTGTGTGGTGTGGATCGGGGTTGTGAGTGTGGCGAGAGACATACCTGGTGCTGGAAGCGTGCGGCATTGTCCGCTGTATGCTTGTACTTCAGGAAGCTGTTCTTGTCAACATCGGCATTGTAGTATTAGGCTAGATAGGATCTGCCACATGTAGTCTGGGCGCCGAGCGCCAATAGGATATCAACTCTTGTTCTTCGTTGATGATGATGAGAGACTATTTCAGCATTGTCAATTACGAACTATTGGTGGACTCGTATGTATGATGCTGTTTGATTGCTGGAGTTCGCTAATGCTCATCTTCCTTGCAATTTGGTAKCGGAGCTGTGGTACGATTGCGCTCATCTGGCGCTTGTCTTCTGCCTTATGCGGTACATACATGCGGTCTGCTGGGCGAGTTTGGCCGTAAGTGGTGTGTAGTGAGGAGGGTGGAGACGAGTGTGAAGGCGACCCAGGAGGTGAGGGGTTCGCCAGGAAGGCTATGTGAAGTGTAAGTGGTCTGGACAGTGTGATGAGAACTATCTAATGTGCGATTGATGCTGAGGTGGAACGGCGGATAATGCTGGTTGTGCCGATGCAGTGACTGGTCATCGCAATTGCCATTTGGTCATCTGGTGAGATTATCTCTGTGGTTGGGGGCAGCAATATTGAGGTACGTTACTCCCAACCTTATCTACCCTCTCCAACACTTCTTACCGTGAGGTTGTGTGATCCAACTTGAAAGTCCTCTCATCGTAAGGTGTTGAGTGCGCTCAACCTTGAGAGTCGGCATACTTCCTGTGGAGCATCAAGGGGAAGAGGGTTTACTTTCTGGAGGGCCCTGGACGACGCACTGGGTCACGGTCACCATGCCAACCCACTGGGTGTAGTACACGCATGCTTCGCTGCAAGTCTTTGGTTCTGCTGCTTGCGCAGATAGAGGTTAACTCGGGTGTGGCAGCCTCTTGAGACGCTGACCAGACCGTCTATAAACATTTCTGGTTGGGGACTCGGCTCTGAATCTAGCTGTGATCGTCGTCCTGTTGCGACGTAAAATAATTCCCGATGTCACTTGGGGGTGGACGTTAAATTGCCTCTTGATCAGCCAGATCAACCGAGTGTAAGGCTCGTCGGCGTACGAGGATAAATAAGAGTGTTGTGGCTGCCTTGCTCGACGATAACCTGGGGCACAGGGGTGGGACCGGATTGCACACCTTCAGTCACGCATGCTACCCGATTGCTCAGGACGCTGACGGCAAGAGATACTCAAGTGTAAATTGGAGGGAGGGGTTGATTCCAGGTGACAAGTTCGAGAAAAATACCATGCTGTCCTATCCACACAAGTGACTTTATTTTTATGTTTTGATTAGTTAGATGGACTGCCATTGACATCTGACAGACAACATTAGTTAGAACTGTTGATTGTTCCTGATGCTTCTGTTTGCGGACCAGTCATACTAAAAATGGTTTCAGTTGTAGGAATCTGAATTATCTGCTGACCCCAAATGAGATATGTTCCAGAATAGCCACCACTAATTAGTTGGTCTGTGTACTATGCTGCGGTAGGCATCTTGTATGATCTAGTGTAGATGGTGCACAGTGTTGTAGCCTATGAGCGACAGGGAGGAAACCGGAGAGGACGACCGCAGGTTATTGCGATCAGCTAGAGGCCCAATAACTCACGTGTCCCTAGGACCGCAGGGTGATAGGGAACTGTTCCGCCGGCAGAGGGAGAGGCAGCAGCAGAGGAGAGCTAGAGCAGCCGAGGCCAGCAGGGCATTAGCTAGCGAGGCCGGTGCTACAGCAGCCATGGCTACCACAGCCATGAGCACGTCTGCGCAACAGACTTCCCAAGCCGGTAGTTCAGGTACCGCTGGGTCCACGGTCGCGCAGACCGTGAGTCAGTCCACTGGCTTAATGGCAAGCCAGCCCGCGGTGTTGACCCTAGAGGATGTCGCCATCCAGCAGGCAGCCCTGCAAGAGGCACAGCTACAACAGGCATTAGGACAGATAAAAAGAGAGAAGGAAATGATGATTAGAAGAAGAACCAGGCTGCAGCGAAGAGGGGCAGACATAGAAGAGTTAGAAACGATGGACCTGACGAACATGGATGATGACGTGAGGGTAGTTAGGAGGGCCCTGCTAGGGGTAATGGAGATGCAGGAGCATCAGACTACCATCCTTCAAGACATCCAGCAGAGCCTAGCCATTTTGGTAGGGCGTTCTCAGGCAGCACCATCACCGGGAGGGCCGGGTGCCTGGCCTGTGCCATATCCTCCCTTTTCTGTCCCACCAGTCACTGGGGTATCCCCATTTGTAGCCCCGTCGACGGTTGCTGTCGTTTCCCTGGGCATGCCGCTCTCAGGAGGGTTATCAGCAGGTCCTAGTCTTCAGGATCCAGTACAGTCAGTGGTCACCAAGGCTCCGTCACAGGTTGCCATTAGTGGGCAATCTATTGTCTCGCAAACTGTGCAGCCACAGGGCACACAGCCCCAACAGCTAGCACAACAACCTGTATCACCGGGTCCACAGCCCGGGTTGGTGCAGGGACCGGGACAAAGTCAGTGGGTTCCAAAGATGGCCATCACCGCTCCCAAACCCTTTACAGGGGACAAGAGAGGCGAAGACCTCGACACTTGGTTGAGGGCAGTGCCGGTCTATGTCAGGTGTAAACTCACCTTGCCACACGAAGAAGTGCTTGTGGCTGCATCCTACCTAGAGGGTAGTGCAGCAAGATGGTTGAGTGGGTAAGTACAACTCCAGGGGCACGGTCATGACTTCCGATCTTGGGCAGCCTCTCAGAAATTGGAGGACTTCCTGAAGATGGTGGAAGAAAGATGGCATGATCCTCAAGAGGCCCAAAGGGCCACTGATGCGATCTTGACACTACACACGAGGCAGTATAAGTCAGTAAGGGAAGCCACAAATGTTGTAGAGCGTCTGATCTGTGTTCTAGGGGTGTGCTATGATCCCCAGGTCTTGTTGACTTCGTACTTGAGGTGCTTATCCCAGCCTCTCAGGAACCAGTTGGCAAAAGAGGCCAACATCAATATGCACAACTTTCCTTCGTTTAGCAAGGTAGCCCTAGACCTTGAAGCAAAAATAGGGCATGGACATAACTCAGTGACGGACAGGAAAAAGAAGACCCTGCCTCCTAACTGGAAAGCCAAAGGCCGCATTATGTTTGTCGACCACGATGGAGCAACCATTGAGTTGGACGACGACTCCCAGTTAGGAGTAGGTGCAGAGGCAGGTGGCGATACTTCAGAGGGTGGAGTAGTCGTCGCCGTAACCCAAAAAGGTAAGGGGACCGGTAGACGCCGAGGGGGCTCCGGGTCTAGGAATCAAGTAGACCCCAATGCTCCTCCATGGGAGAAAGCGGGTCTTTCCGAGGACGTGTGGAGAGATCGGTGGAACCGTCAGGCCTGCATTCGTTGTGGTCAATACGGCCATAACCAGTTCAAATGTAGGAACAAAAAGGTCACGGATAAGATCCCGCCTACTATGGGGCAGGCGGTAGGATCCTCAACTCCTGTAGGTAGCAATGTTGTCAGTTCATCAGGCACTGCTCCGGGAAACACGTCAGGCCAGTAGGAAGAGTAGTTGTTCCTACTAGGGACGAGGTGGTGGAGACACCCTCGCCATCTCGCATCATGGCCCAAGCTACTGATTCCCTTGTCGTCCCGCAAACGCATTCAGACCCATCGACCCTTTGCTCGATGAATGTGTTTGAGTCCTTAGAGGAGTTAGAGGAGGAGTGGTCTAGACTAGACCTGATAGCTTCTTGGACGGCACTAGCTAAAACCCCGAAGGGTGAGATGTTCGTCAGCGAGATAGTCGTAGGCGGCCGCAAGGCCGGGGCCTATTATGACACTTGCTCGACACGAAACTTTATTAGTCGCGCGTGCGTTGAGAGGCTGCGTTTACAGGGCCAAGTGCAGCGCCTGAGTCGACCTATGGAGTCGACCTGTGCCAACAAACAGCGCATGGTAGTTAATGACTACCTTCAGGATGTAGAATGCCTGTTCCCGTTCGTGGGAGAGGAGTTGAGGCATCGTGTCTCATTCCTAGTGAGCGACGGTCTCCCTATGGATATCTTGTTAGGTATGTACTACCTCTCTATGGCACAGCACCAGTTTGACTGAGACCGAAAAGTGGTCAAGCACACGTTGCCAGGTGGACGGACCGCCGGATTACACAAGTTCAAAGCTAGTGGTCTGATCGATTCCCATGGATGCATGTGTGCGGCCGCGTTCTATAACTACTATAAGCAACATCAGGAGGAGGGTATGTACTTAGTTTATGTCTCTGCTGCAGGCGAGCCGGTGAAAATGCCGCCGGAGATAGAGGGAGTAGTTGCCAAGTACTCTGATCTATTTGAAGAGCCAACAGGGGTTGTTGAGAGGGAGGTCGTCCACGCGATAGAAATTATCCCAGGATCTAGTATTCCGAAGGGTAGGATCTATCGGATGTCTCCAGGCGAGCTTGATAAGCTTCGCTGCCAACTCAAGGAACTCGTAGAGAAGGGTTGGATCCGACCGAGTGTCTCTCCTTACGGATCTTCAGTACTGTTCGTACCTAAGAAGAAGGAGGGCACTCTCAGGATGTGCATTGATTATAGGGGTCTCAATGCCATCACTGTAAAGAACAGAGAGCCCCTACCGTGCATCGACGATCTGTTAGATAGAGTGCAAGGGTGTCGGTACTTCAGTAAGATAGATCTGAAGTCCGGGTACCATCAGATTGCAATCCGGCCAGAGGATCAACACAAAACTGCATTTCAGACCAGGTACGGTTTGTACGAGTTTGTGGTGATGCCTTTTGGCCTTTGCAATGCTCCTGGCACCTTTCAGCACGCTATGAATCGGATATTCCATGACTACTTGGATAAGTTTGTCATCGTGTACCTCGATGACATACTTATTTTTAGTAAGACTGTCGAGGAGCACGTTGCACACTTGGACAAAGTCCTCAGTCTCCTGTGACAGCACAAGTTCAAGATCAACGGTGAGAAGTGCGAGTTTGGCCGCACCCGTGTCTTGTACTTGGGTCATGAGATCTCCGCGGAAGGGTTGAAGCCCGATGACGCGAAGGTGGGCAGCATTCGTGATTGGCCACGACCTCAGTCCGTGACTGAGATGAGATCTTTCTTAGGAATGACAGGCTACTACCGAACTTTTGTAAATAACTGTAGCATCGTGGCCGCTCCTTTGACTGATCTGACCCGCCTTGACACCCCGTGGGAGTGGACAGATGAGTGCGAGGCTGCTTTCAGACATCTGAAGCATGCACTAACGCATTATGAAGTCTTGAAACTTCCTGATCCTGATAAGCCGTTTATAGTAACCACGGATGCTAGCCAATATGGCATTGGCGTCGTGCTTGCGCAGTAGGAGGGGCCAAAGTTGAGGCCTGTTGAGTACATGTCCAAGAAAATGTCATCTCAGAAGTTGGCTAAGTCCACCTATGAGAAAGAACCCTATGCGGTGTTCAAGGCGCTGACCCATTGGAGACACTATCTCCTTGGGAGGTTCTTCATCCTCAGGACTGATCATCAGACCTTGAGATGGATGAGAACTCAGCCTGTACTCTCTGTCGCATTGAAGCGTTGGATAGAAGTCTCAGTACCTTAAGGGTGAGTACAACAAGGTTGCTGATGCCTTGTTGCGTAGACCTGACTTCTCAGGTGCGCTGATTACTGAGTACGATCTTACGGATGATGTCACTCGATCCTTGGTGGAAGCCTATCGAGAGGACCAGTTTATGTCTAAGATCATACGCAGACTCGAGGCGAAGGATAAACAAACTTCAGCCAAGTTTGAGTTGGTCAATGGCTTGCTGTTTCTCGAGAAGGAAGGGAATAAGCGTTTGTGTGTTCCTAATAAAGAGTGTATGCGTAGTTTGTTTTTAGGCGAGTGTCATGACGCCACCGACCATTTTGGGTACAAGAAAACCGCAACCAATTTGCTGCAAAGGTTCTGGTGGCCCACAATGTTAAAAGATGCTAAGCTGTACGTGGAAACTTGTCAAGTTTGCCAACGAGACAAGCCCCGTACCCAGGCTCCTCTTGGGCTGCTCAAGCCCCTTCCGATTCCGGAAAGGCCGGGTGAAAGCTTATCCATGGACTTCATGGATACACTGGTCACCAGCAAGAGCGGGATGAGACAGATCTTCGTCATCGTGGATAGGTTTAGTAAGTATGCTAGGTTAATAGCCATGTCGGAAACAGCGAAGACCGAGTATGTAATCAGGCTGTTCAAAGAAAACTGGGTGAGGGATTTTGGATTGCCTAAGTCTATTGTAAGTGACAGGGATGTTAGATTTACAAGTGAGTTATGGAAGGCCGCTGCAGCTGAACAGGGAACTCAACTGCAAATGACTTCTTGAAACCACCCGGAAGCAAACGGCCAAGCTGAACAGATGAACCGCGCTGTTCAACACCTGTTGAGGCATTACATTAAGCCCAATCAGGTGGACTGGGACGAGAAGCTTGCTCTTGTCGCCAGTCTGTACAATAATGTTGTACACAGCGCTACCGGGCTAAGTCCTAACAGTCTATATCTTACCTTTACGCCTAGACTGCCTTTAGACTTCCTACTTCCTGATAACCAGCCAACTGTTGCACTGGGCACCTTGGAGTTCGCTTATTGTTACGAACAGAAAATGCAGGAGGCTGTAGAGCACATGCAGAAGGCGCAGGCAGCAATGATAGAATCTGAGAATAAACACCGCCGCCCTTCTACATTTCAGGTTGGGGACAGAGTCTGGGTCAAGTCTTCAGAACTGGGACAGGAGTTTGGGATATCCCGCAAGCTCATGCCACAGTACTTTGGACCTTGGGAAGTTTTAGATGTAGTAGGGACAGATCCTGATGGTCCATCTTACGTCATCCGTATCCCTGGTCACCTCAGAACTTTCCCAGTCTTTCACGCCTCTAAGCTCGCTGCGTACAAGGAAACTGATCAGTTTCCCTCTCGTCGATCAATGCTGCCCCCAACCATGGACGGAGAAGTCGACATCGACCACAGGGAGATACCTGTTCAGAAGCCTCCGGGAAGGGGACGTCCTCCCAAGCCAAAGCTGCAGTTTCGTGTCCATTTCAGACATCACATAGATCCGAAGGAGGACCGCTGGTTTACTCGGGAGGAATTGATGCAGACCGCCCCTCAAATCGTTGCCCGCTATGAGAAGGATGTATTGAAAGGAAAGCACCAGATGGCTCAGGATTGATCTTCTCAGAGGACTAACGAAGATATGGAGGAGGAAATGCGAGGCTACGCCCGCCCAGCCCCTTCGGGGCCCTTTTTGCAGCATGTCGGCCGCCCTAAGTGAAGGCAGGCGCGACAGGCCCTCAGGGCCTCGATTTTTAGGGTACCCCGCAACTGGTGAAATTCAGACAGTTGCGCTGCGCCAGTTGGTTGAAGGCACCCAGGCCCAGGCCATATTTTGCAAATATATCTGAATAGTGACCTGGGCCAGACGCGTGGGAAAGGCCGTGAGCAGGCCAAGGGCAGTTGGGCACATGCAACCATCAGGCCCTGGGCCTGCGTGTGAGGTCTGGGCCTGTGCCTACCGGGGCCTACTGGAAGCTTCCTGGACTGGACGCAGGCAGGCCACCTCGATATAGGGAAGGGTCTGCCTCCTCATTCGACATTCGGGTGCTGGCTGCATGCTGCGCGAGCGCTGCTGCGCTATTTGCTGGCTGGCTGGCACTCACGCTCTCACGGGCGAGCAGGAAGGAGCGGGCAACCATAGCCGAGCTGCTCCGCTGTGAGCTGGGTGTGGCGCAGGGTGGTCCTTGGGTGCTAGTGGCATCTGTGTGGTGTGGATCGGGGTTGTGAGTGTGGCGAGAGACATACCTGGTGCTGGAAGCGTGCGGCATTGTCCGCTGTATGCTCGTACTTCAGGAAGCTATTGTTGTCAACATCGACATTGTAGTATTAGGCTAGATAGGATCTGCCACATGTAGTCTGGGCGCCGAGCGCCAATAGGATATCAACTCTTGTTCTGCGTTGATGATGATGAGAGACTATTTCAGCATTGTCAATTACGAATTATTGGTGGACTCATATGTATGATGCTAACCAGGTAGTGGCGGATTGGATTCTTAAACATCTCCAAGCAGACTGCCCACACGAAGGAGAGGAATACTGGGACAAATCTTACGTCGAGTTAGTGGCACTCCTTAACAACAGCCCGTCTCTGAGGAACGCGCTCACTTCCGCCCCTCCCCCCTATTTAACTTGGGTTGAGGCATTCCAACGCATATTGGCCGTCACTCGTGGACGGTTTCATCCGCCTCCGGCGGCGGAGCCTTCGGCTCCCCACTCACCTGAGACCTCGTGCGCAGTGCCGGATGGCGGAAGGGGAACAACAGAGGAAGGGATGACTTCGCGAAGACTTAAGGTCAGGCAGCTCATTGAACGGGGCCTCTTCGAACTACCTCTTTCGAAAACCCATGGGGTGATGGTACTCCCCCTCAGGAAAGCGGAAGGAAGATGGGAGTTGGGTCTCTCCCCGGTGGGGGACTACGGGGGCGTTACAATGCATGGTTGGGAATTCTCGCTCCATGAGAAAGACCGTATGGAGAAAGGCAGAGTGTTCTCTAACCAGATGTCAACCTTCATCCCCAAACACTACTCCCCGGGGGCAAGGGCAGGATTGAGGTTTGAAACGTCTACTGAACAGATAGCGCGGAATGATTTGTACCTGCTCTTTGACCCCAATAAAACTTCTAATCTAGGCTGGTTTAGCCATAATGCCCTCTTAGACCTGCAATGTGCCAAGATCAAAGCCAGCGACTTCTRGTCCGAAGATGACGTTTGYCGATGCCTGTGTCGAATTGCAYGAGAAAAAGYATTGWACCTAGATAARTGGGACCTCAAKCATTGGCACCCACYATGACACACCTAAAYGGATGGGAATCTCAYGCTAAGGTATCCATCAAATTGAGGATAGGAAGAAATGGATGACCTCGAAACATTATATTGTAGGAACTCGGCGTGGAGGAAATGCGTTGATTCGGCTGACTTAGACCTGCGCTCCATTAACGTTAATGACCTGGCATCAAGCAAACCTGAAAAGCGACAAGCTATTTGGGATCAACTCAAAGGAATTGGAGGCAGGCGATGGCCGGACGTAATCTGCATACAAGAAACCCATTTGTTAGACAACCCAGACCATAACAGAGCACATAAGCAAATCTGACCCCACACAACTATTAGAGCACACGCCGCGAGACCCGGCTCAGCAGGGGTAGCAATCTGGGTCCCTCCAGACTCCAGATTTCAACCTGTCCACTGGGCAGTGGACGAAGAAGAGGGACGTTGGGCCTCTGTCCTGGGCATGCTGGAATTAGAGCTGCTCTGCATCATCTGCATCTACTCTCCAACTACAGTAGGGGAAAGGAGGGAATTCTTGGGGAGATTCGGCATGCAAGTCCCGGAAGGCATCCCCTTGGTTTTAGCAGGAGACTTCAATGTCACCCCCGACAAAGATTTGGACAGATGGAAACCCCAGGAATCACCCTCCTTCGCGGCGGCAGAGGATGAACAGATGATAGCCGACCTCTGCAGATCACTTTCGGTCTTCGACACCTTTCGACGGTTGCACCCCCAAGCATGAGTCTTCACATGCATACACGATAATGACCCGGCACGCTTGTCCAAATCGAGGATAGATCTTATCCTATTATCCAACGATTTGGAAGGGGCTTTGCGATGGGCATTGATTCTTCCACGAAGCCCGCATCCGGGGCTGGACCATAAAACCTGCGGCATTGTGCTAACTATGAGGAAAAGACTCGATCAAGGACCGGGCTTCCACAAACTTAACACCTCCCTGCTTAAGGACTCTTCCTTCTCACAGATGATCAGGCACGAATGGAACTTCTGGCGTCGGCAGAGACACCTTTTTGACTCAAGTCTCACCTGGTTTAATAACGGCCTAGTCTTCCTCGCAAAGAAATGTAAATAGTTATCTAAAGCCAAGGCAGCATTACGGCAATACCAAGAAATGACTACCCACAACGAACTAATAAGCCTGGAACAGCAGGTAGAGTCGCTACAACTTAATACTTCCACTTAGGAACCACACCACCTTATCACAGCTATCCAAGACAAGAAAGACCAACTCCTACAATTCGCATTACATAGATGGCAAGGGATTAGAATTCGAGGGAAAATGACCCATCTAGCACATGAAGCATCAATTGACACACAGTTCTTCTCAATAGCCACCGCTAGAGCTAGACGGACGACTATCGAAGCGTTTTTTGACCCAGAGAATAGCAACACTATCGCCACTGACACTGCACACTGTTCGTTAATCACTAGGAAATTCTTTAAACAACTGTATACTTCCCAAATCCCATCCCCACAGGAGGAAGCAAGAATCAGGGAATTACAAGAATTCCTCTCCCCAATGGACCGCTCAATTTCTCCTCAGCAGCGGGACGGATTGGAGGAACCGCTCACAAAAGAAGAGGTATGGACTGCACTTCTCCAAATGAAGGAAGAAAAAAAACCCGGCATTAATGGGTTTCCCAAAGAGTTCTGGGAAACCACATGGAATGACATGAGCAGCGACTTGTGGGAATACTATCAAGACGTATGGGAGGTTGGGAAAATGGGGGAAATTGTAGGGCAAGGGGTGTTGTCTCTCCTCTATAAAAAAGGAGATAAAATGAACATCAGGAATTATAGGCCAATCACTCTGCTCACCGTACTCTATAAAATGCTTTCCAAAGCACTAGCCAACAAAATGGCAAAGGTTTTGGAAGACGTTATACACCCGGCCCAAACAGGATTCATGTCCAGCAGAAATATACAAGAAAATATCTTGCTGTTTAATGACGTGGTCCAATTGGCGCAACGAAATCGGGCAAATGCTGCCATCAGCTTCATCGATTTCGAAAAAGCCTATGACCACGTGGATTGGGACTTCCTGGACAAATGCCTAGAGAAAATGAACTTCGGCCCTACGTTTCGACGCTGGGTTAAGATCCTACACAAAAATGCCACTACCTGTGTCCAGGTCAATGGGTCAGTGACACCCCCCTTTGAGCTCCAACGATCGGTGAGGCAAGGGGACCCAATTGCCCCATACCTCTTTCTAGTAATAATGGAAGCACTATCAGCCAACCTGAGAAAAAATAAGAATCTCACGCGCATCAAGATAGCCAACATTCCGCAAGATGCGATCCCGATTTGTTCCCTGTTTGCAGACGACCTTACGATCATGATGGAAGCGACAAAATCTAACATGGAGGAGATTCAACACCTCATGAATAAGTTCTGTCAGCTGTCCGATATGGCTGTCAATTGGGGACAAAAAACAGTAGGTTGGTGGATGCACCATCAGGGGGGGAGACCCCCGGAAAGCCCACGAATCACGTGGCTCCCCCTCGATGACCCCCTGAGAGTTCTGGGGGCACAAATGACTGCCAGAGGAAAATCGGCAACGAATGATG